AGATAGATTTGGACTTGAAGGCGATGAGGAGTCAACCATGTTGGAAGAATCTGTTTCACCTAAGAAGTGAGTATATACAACAGGAGAAAATGCTCTTAAGAGCCTTAAATCTTATTTAAGATAAATAATCTTTTAGCTGTGGCAGCTTTTTTCAAATGAAATAGTATGGCTGTTATTGTTAAAGAATTATTTTTTATAGAGCATTTCAATAGAAGGAAGTACTATCTCCCGGCAATTCAGCAGGCTCCTGCTTCATTCGGTGATTGAAGAGCACACATTTGTCACAAAATTCTTGATTAAGGCAACCAGCAGTGGTACCAGTTTGTGGTAACTTGACCGTAGAACAAAGGAACTCAGGCTGTAATTCAGTAAAATGCTGGGGTGGCAGGGGTAATGATGCAGAGCTGAAAATGCTGCATTAGATTTTTGATCTTCATGAAAACACATAGGATTTACAAGGTTTTATTTGCCTGTGTCTGCTAGATCCATGGTTTGCAGTAAATTTGACTCCTGTCAGTTTAATTGTACACTGTGTCACAAACAGAGCTGACTTATTTCACCAAACCACTTTAGACGAACCAATCAGATGTGTGGTGTGGGTAAAGGTAAAATTTTGGTACTAGTAGGTCAGGCTATGGTTCTGATGGGAGAGTAACTGAATATAGCAAAAAGCAGAACTATAGAACTGGCCATACTCTTGAAAAGGAATATTAAGTCTCTCCTTACAGTGAAGGAATTGAAATAGGTTCGTGACATTATAAGCTGTAATGAGCCACTCAAGTCTTGTCTTGGAACTCTGAGGATGGCAGTGTCAGTAGTGTGTATGTGAAAAGCCTATTTATTGTTAAACATCCTGTTTATAGGAGATAAACTTGTTAGATCTTTAATGTGGCCTTAGGTGAAATTTCAACTTTTAATGGATCACATATGTTCAGATATGCTTTCTTTTGACATTGCCCTTTCCAAATCACTTCCAGAATATACTGTTAGCTTAGTGCTGTGCGGAGAAGCACAAAACTTGTAATAGATGAATACAAGATTTTTCACAATTGAAGTTACTTTTTTCCCCAGCAAAGTGTTGTTGTTAAAGCCAGAATTTCTGTCAATGCTTCTAGCTGTTAAAGCTTGAACCATGTTTAAATATAAGCAGTATATCTGCAAAGTGATTCATGATTGTGGATGACGATAACTTTATTATTCTTGAAAGTATCCTTCCTCCCAGTCCATTATCTGATAGGCTGCCAGATTATTAGCAAGTACATGGATGGAGATCCATGTGGCAGCAAAAACACAAGGGTTATTGATGTGTTAGAAACCACGGAAGTGCCTGAGAATGTTCAAGTAGGAATTAGGGCTTCTCCTCCCAAAAAGGTGGTGGGATCAATAGTCCAGCTGAACTGCATCTACACCAATGCATGCAGCATGGGCAACAAACAGGAAGAGCTGGAAGCCATGGTGCAGCAGGAAAACTATGACATAGTTGCCATCACAGAAACATGGTCTCACGCAACTGGAGTGCTGCAATGGGTGGCTATAAACTCTTCAGAAGGAATAGGCAGGGAAGGACAGGTGGTGGGTATGTTATGGAGTGCTTTGATGGTTTAAAGCTTGATGATGATAGGGTTGAGTGTTTGTGGGTCAGAATCAGGGGGAAGGCTAACAAGGCAGACGTCATGGTGGGAGTCTGCCATAGACCACTCAACCACGATGAAGGGGTAGATGAATCCCCAGCGAGGAGAAATCTTACTATCAGTAGCCCTTATTCTCGGGGACTTCAGCTTACCAGATGTCTGCTGGAAATACAACACAGCAGAGAGGAAACAGTCTAGGAGGTTCCTGGAGTGCATGGAAGAGACCTTCCTGATGCAGCTGGTGAGGGAGTCAACTAGGGAAGGCATCCGCAGGACCTGCTGTTTGTGAACAGAGAAGGACTTGTGGGTGATGTGATGGTTGGAGGCTGTCTTGGGCATAACGATCACAAAATGATGGAGCTCTCGATCCTTGGAGAAGTAAGGAGAGAGGTCAGCAGAATTGCTACCTTGGACTTCCGGAGGGCAGACTTTGGCCTGTTCGTGAGCCTGGTTGACAGACTCCCTTGGGAGGCAGTCCTGAAGGGGAAAGGGGTCCAGGAAGGCTGGACATTCTTCAAGAAGGAAATCTTAAAGGCACAGGAGCAGGCTGTACCCATGTGCCAAAAGACAAGCTCATGGGGAAGACCACCGGCCTGGCTGAACAGAGA